TAAAATGTTTTAAAAGCGTATTAAAGTCTATGTTTATTTCATTTGTCTGGCTAAAATTCTGCAGCTTATTGTTAAGATTAATGTTGTATGATGCAATTGTCTATTAATTTATCAGATCTTTAGATGACCTTATTGTTACCTAGAAGTTACATCCTCATTTCTTGTCCCTGTCCTAATATCCTGATACAAAGTTTAATGTAGTATAAGAAATCCAGTTGTCCTTGTCAAAGTGGGTTGAATGAACAGTTGATCTATGTATGCTTTATATCTTAGCAAGGTTCTTCTGTTGAGGAGTGAGTTCACTGCTGCTCAGTGCCTCCATTTGCTTCCTTACACACTGAAGACCTTTTTCCCTTTGTGTAAAGTAGCTGCTTATTGTGGATCCCTTAGTACTACCTGTTTTTCTTGTGGTCTTCTGTACAGGTCTTTGCCACGTCATGTAATTGTAGGGGTATTTCCATTCTGAAATCAGCCTGTGATGACATCTCAGAGAAGAGCAGCTTTCACTTGACTTTACTATAACTTTTTAAACTTTTTTTTAACACCTTTTACACCTTTTTTAACACCTTTTACAGCAGTGCCATAGTGTCTTTCAGTGCTAGCTTTAAGAGGAAACATTCTTTTTTTTTTTTTTAGCTCTTAAGCTAAAATTACTTTTTAATTTAAGTCTTTATATACTTCTTGTGAATTGCTTTCCTTAGTGTAACTGCCTCAGTAGATAGATTACTGTGCACTTCTGTAGCCCATGATAAGATCCTGGCAATTGCTGCTTCCTGTAGGAACTGAACTGTTAAAATGACAGTGTATCATTGTCTCTTAGGCTGAGCTACTCCAGAGTTTATGGTGTAATAAAATAGTGTGATCAAATTGAGGCCTGCTGCAAAGTTTCTCGGGAGCCTTTCTGGTGAATCTGAAGGCCTTTAGACTGGACATTTAATTTCTCTTCTGGAAATACTGACATGCAAATCTATGCAATATTACAGTGTACTTGAATGACTGATGTTGTGAACACTTCTTTATGTGATCTTACCTAATACTTACTTGAAGATTTGGGGGCCTATCTTCTCTTTCTTAATCTCACGTTGGTATCTGAATAAGATGGGGAGAGTATAGTCAAATGTGCTGTTGTGCTAGGAGTTTACATATGGCAACTGTAGTGTAGTGCAGAGTACCAGCAGCTGGGACGAGTAGAACAGTTTGCAGAAAATACTTGTTGAGCAAAGGGGGTATTGACAGACCTAGGACTCCAGAGTAGTTACAGGTTAGGAGGCTGAATTGAGGGTAATTTTTTGAAGGCTGGGAGGAATGAAAAGAAAGTGCTGTGAGCTACAGAGTGAATCACTAATGTTAGGTTTCTGGCAGGGGGAAAGGAGGAATGGTCAGGCATTCTGGTGCAGAAGGCTTTGGGACAAGGGGCTGAGAGCCACCATGATCACCTCTTCCTGATGAACATCTGTAGGACTCTGGAACTAAGACTGTGTTCATGGAACTGATCACTATTGTCTGAACAGCACAGCCATCTGCCCTTGCATTCTCTGTCCTTCGTGGCAGGGAATGTGATGCTGTCAGGCCAAGTGGAACCCATTCAAGCAACTGAGAGCAACCTTCTCCTGTAAAGAGTAAAGAACTTCTTCCAGTCACTACTTACAAATTAACAGCTACAAGTACTTTCCATTTGAAGAACAGTGCTTCAGCAGACTTCCTCTTTCCACCCCTGAAGTTTTTTTGGGGTATTTGCGCAGGGAACAGGACTTAAAACCAGGAGATGAGTGGCATGGAATGACTCATGCTCAGAAACAGAAGCATTTGACTTTGGAATACTGACTGTAGTTCTAGCCCTTCCTCTTTAATGTTGCATGACCTTTTAAATGAAATGTCGAGCTTCCTTTTTAAATGACAGGATCTCTGCAGTGTGACTATGAGTATGATTCAAGAAGGTGTTTCGTAACTTCATCAATCTCTCTGTTGATCCATTAACTTCAGTTCTTGTGACATCACTGGCTTCAAGTTCCTCATAGTGTAGTAATTCCATGCTGTGAATGAGTCTGCTTTCTCCAGCATGGAGATCCTGGAAACTGTCCTGACACCAGTGAGCATCAGTAGTTATGTGACTCTGCAATAACCAGTAACAGAAGTTTTTGAGGAATGTACAAGAAAGCCTATAACATGGCCATTTTATGTAACTTGTCACTAGGTTGTTTCTCTCCAGTAACTTTCTCTATTGAAGGCTATCTGATTTCCACTAAAGTCAGCATCATATCCTGGAAGTGATCTTAGATTTTTAATTTTTTTTTTTTTTTTCACTTTAGGTGTTATAGCAACTGCTGTAGCCAATAAAAAAAAACCCCAACCCTCCAAAACCAAAAAAAACCCAACGAAACAGCCCCAAGAAAACAACCAAAACTCCAAACCACTTTTATCCCATATTGCTGAGAAGAGTATGCCCCATCTTTTCAGGCATGGATTTGACTGCTGAGGTCAAGGCATGCATGCCCTCCAGTATTTTCTGTTTTACTGATGTTCATTACATTCAGAAATGAAGTCCTATATGCTAGTTGGATTTTCATGAGAGGCAGCAGCTTGCCTGTTGCCATATCTAGATCCCTCATTTTATTACCACCCCACCCCATTTTTTTTCCCCTGTTTGTTGTAGTGTGCTTCAGAAATACATTACACTTTTTAAATTGTCTGTGTTTCTGGAATGTACATGGGTAACTTCTTTCTTTTCATTTTCTCTTTGCCTATCGGAGTTATGCATCTCCTAGAATGCCCTTATTCTTTCAGTACCTTTTTGCATCATAGCATCTTTAAAAAGATCTAATATTTGGTAGTGAGGTAGTAGCCAGCTGTCTATTCCCTGGACAATAAATTACTGGTTTCAGATCCTTAAATACGTGGTGTTGGTATTTGAATCTGTGGAACTCTCCGAGGCTGGGAGTAGTGTGTATGTGCACATACACATGTTTGCTTAAGTTTGCTCATATTTTTATATTAGAATGCCTTTGTATCATTCCATTTCTGTAATGAAGCATTTAATCAGTTTCCTTTTAAAAAAGAGGGGACAGTTCTTTTCAGTTTTGTTAATGCCATGAAAGGAAACAGTGTAGATTACTGCTGCTGCTAATTTAACCCAGTATTTACAGCAAAAATGCCTAAGGGTCTTTTGGTTCGGTTTGCATTTTGCTGGTTGTATAATATGAATCCTAAGTGGTGGGGTGGCTGTATTGTTTTTTGGTTTGGGTTTTTTTTTAACACTTAAAAAAATAACACATGTAGGCTCTGTGGGAAATGTGCTTAGAGATCTAGAAAGCCATTTTTCTGAGTTCCCTGGTTTTGTCTCTTGTTAATCCTGTACAGAAGAAAAATAAACCTCTGCAAAACACAAAGTCACCAACCTAGTGTCAGAGACAAATTCATGAAAACCACCATTTTAGCTGCCTCATGTTTGAGATATTAGACTGTGGCAGTTAAGATCATATTCTCCAGACTGCATTCTTCATAAGCAGAATTACTGGCAGCCATGTGTTAAGTTATAAAAAGATAACAGCTGATGTCAGGGCTTATTTCAGTGAGGAGCCATTTCAGAATACTGTACTAATTTTGAGCAGGTATATGTAAAATAGAACTATTCCCTTGACATGTAGCATTCAGTGTATAAATTTATACATATCTGAATAGAAAAAGATGAACAAGTAATAAGCTGCAGTAGCTAGCCTTAAAGCCTTAAAGTAGAGAAAAACCTTCAGCATTGTACATGGTTCTTTATGAAAAACTGAGAGGAACAGAAAACCAGTTTAGGTTGGCCTGCATTTTAGGGAATAGATTTTTGAGCTGGAATAAAATCCTCCTCTGATGTTGGAAAGCTACCACAATTTGAGCCAGAGCCTGAGCTAGTTTGAACCTATTAATAGAGGAGTGCAACAGAACTTTTTGTGCAAGTGATCTATATATCACAAGCAGCCGTCCAAATGCACTAACTTTATGTGTGCAGAAACGTGTTCTCTGGTCACACTGGGTGTGGATCAACACCATGCTCAAATATATCCGTATCTAGACAGATAATTTGTTTTTCATGATGATTTTTAGTGGCCTCTGGGTTAGGTTAATTTGTTCCTTTCGTGTATGTGCACAATGTCTGTCTTAGGATTTCTTAAACTTACTATGCTATTGAAATACCAGTTCTATAGTAAATACATTCCTTCCATTTTCATTAATTTCAGTTAAATCTAACAGCTTCACCCTGAAGTTCCTAGTACTATAATTTTTAAGAGTTGCATATTTAAATGGTATTTATTTACAGTGTAAAGTTCTGTTTCTACAAACTGGGACTAGTGTCCAAGGACAGTAGAATTCTTTTTATTATAAATTTTGAAATTGTCTCAGATAGCTGAGCTATTATATGCATCTGAAAAAAAACCCCGATAGAAACCCTAATTATATAGGGGATTGTTGAGATTATATAGATGTTTTAATGGAGCATGAGAATTGCATACAAATAACTTTCACCATTTGCAGATTTGTGGCATCTTGCTGATAACTCAAGATAAAGATGTATCTTAGACAAGTCACCACTTCATGTGTGTGTTTGATGCCAAGGGGGGTAGGCAAGGTTTTTTTTCTATCACAATGAATGTTTTCTAATTGCTACTGAGTCAGAAGTACAATTGATATTTTCACTGACAGTGGAAACAATTGCTTAAAGCAGTTCATATGAAAGTGCTTTGGGGCAGAGACCCTGCTCTATCAGGATTGTAAAGGCATAATGTCTGGTAAATGTTCTGCTACTTTATTATGCAGCTAATAATATTTTAACACACAAATTATGTTAGTTTTGTTTTCTGATAAATTTAACCTACATTCTTAATTTGAAGCCCAAAGTGCTTTCTGTCCTGAACTCCCACACATGAAGATGTGAAGTGAAATGGCTATTTGTCTTAAAATAGCTAATGGTATGAAGATATTAGATGCATTCATGTCTAAGACTTTCTTTTTTTTTGTTTCAGGACATCAGGCATGAAGCCAGTGATTTTCCATGTAAAGTGGCCAAACATCCCAGAAACAAAAATAGAAATAGGTACAGAGATGTCAGCCCCTGTAAGTACACTTTCTTTTCCATTGTTTGTAACAGACTGTTAACCTCTAATGACTTTTTCTATCAGCTAAATGTTCTTTGTACGAACAAGATTTCTATTAGATGGGTATGCATCCAAGACAATTCTTTTTGTTAATATATTTATTTATGAGATAGATGTCACAGGATGCCATTATATCCATAGGATTATACTAGAGCAGCATACAGTAGATTCCGTATTTGTGGGCAGAAATCTGAAGGAGGGAACTTGCTTTACCTTTGAATTTTTACGTTAGAGAAGAATGGTGGCTGAAATAGCATTAATAAAATTGCAAGTATCCTTTCTATTGCAGTATACTTAGTAGAGCATCCTTCTAGTCAATATAGCATAACTGCCCCTGTTGGGAGATGGGGTAGAGTTTTGCATAGAACACATTACTGCTAGAAATAAATCTAAGCTAATCAGCTAATTGAAACAGAGAAAAGGGGATGTTTGCAAAGGTGGTAATACTAGTATGAGACCTGTGTTTCTGAAGTTATCATCTTTACATATTCTGGTGAATTCTGGTGGGAAGTGCATCTTTGAGCACATGTCCTGTACAAGGCATGGCTCAGTTTGGTGTTGCAGCCTGTCTTTCCATGCACAATCCCATGTTCAAAGACAGTAACATTCAGACTTGTCTATGCCTGGCATGCTGTACTTTTGGGGTGCAAGAGAGACTGCAATGACAAAAACACACAGAGTGCAGAGAAGTACAATACTGTAATTAAATGGTCGGCAAATAATACTTGATGTATGAGACACTAAAGAAAGTTCACAGCTGGTTTGCTAAACTGCCTTCTGTGAGCCAAATGACAATGCCTGTTCTGAGACTTCTTTCCCTCTTCCAGGGTGCAGCACTGCTGCCTGTTTGAAATGCAAAGTTTCTGTAGGCTCTGTCACTGGGCAAATGTCTATCTTCTGTTCAAAGACAAGAGTATTACTGTATATCAGAAAACTTTTATACTTGGTGCTTAAAAGTTCCTGAAGTCTTTGAGGCAATCGACTAGGAAGAGCAATGTTGCACATAGTTTGCTTTACTAAGCAGTTCTAATGTTTGGGGTTGTGAGTAACAAGTGGTTCCTTTTTGCCTTTAGATAATACGACTTCCAATCTGTTCGGCTTTCTTGCAAAATGTGGGAACTCTTGTGTGTGGGTTTTTTTGTTGGTGGTTTGGTGGTTTTTTTTTTAACCCTGAATAGACCAAGCTGAGACTAACAAAAGAGTAATGAAACTGCATGTGCTGTAATTCCTGAATTTTGATCATTCTTTCTGTAAATTAAGGTGTGGTTGGGTTGGGAACAGTAACTAAATGTCTATAAGAAGAATAAGAAGCCACTGTTCTGTTCATCCAATATATGTTTATGGAAACCTTTAACAACCTTGAACAAGATGGGTTTGAAAGTTTAAGCTGCAAAAGATAAGCAGTTATGTAATTAGATTTATTTAAAAACAGTAACTCGATAGCTGTACAAATATGTCAGTGTGATCTGGTTTGCAAATTACTGTTGTGATTACTTCAAATGCAAATACTTCCATTCTTGCAGTGTATTCGTGGAAGATGGAGTGCAACTTATGTTCACTGCTCTGCTGTAGTGCTGTTCTTGTAGTACCTATATTGTATTTCCAGAGTTACAAGCACCAGTGAACACTTCTGTGCTACCTGTGATTAAGCTCTTTTCATTCTTCAGGACAACTCAGCTTTTTTGATCCTAACATCTGATGAGGTTGTGCATAGATTGTGCTGTGTTGTGTATACATTAACCAGTGTTTTCTAATTATACTGCAGTTGATCACAGTCGAATTAAGCTAAACCAAGGTGACAATGACTATATCAATGCTAGTTTGATAAAAATGGAAGAGGCCCAAAGGAGCTACATCCTTACCCAGGTAATTGCTGTCAGTGGATAATAAAAATCATATGGTGATTGGAGTTGTTTTTCATAGGTTTTCTTTAGCTTATTATGTATGCTTTCTTCATTGTAAAGCTAGTTAAGTATATATAAACATACGTGTCTGTGTATAAACATATACATAGAACAATTTTATAGAAATACTACATATTTCTTCCTGCTTCCTGTCAGCACTGACTGACTTTTTGTAGCGTAATTTGGACACTTTGTATATCTGACTTTAGAACCCTCTGGGCTAGAAGCTAACGTTCTTCTAGCAAGCTGGTTGTTGGCTTGTGACAAGTAACATTTAGATGTGGGTGAAATAAATCACACTTCTCCTATGTGGAAGGCCAGCACAAAGGCTTAAGACTATTACAGTCTTCAGTTGCCTGATAAATTCTCTAAACAGAGGTGAACATCACTTAGTGGGAGGGCTTCACATTTACAGAACTATATGTATGAACTTCAGGACGTTCAAAACCTATTTGAAATAACATACTTAACACACAAATATCTGTTATATTTAATGTTGAGTGGGGCAGATGTTAACTGAAACATATTAGGGAATTTCTTACACCTGACCTTTCAGGTCAGTTTCAAATAAGCAGTATGTTCCACCAGGTATTTCTTGTTAAACATCCTTCTGAAAGTGGTATTACTGTAGTATTTACAAATAATGTACCTTCTAATAACATGGCTTCCAAAAGGTCTAAATTGGGCAATGCTGATGCTTCCACCTTTAATGTGAGAGGAAAGCTATGAATGCAGATTTTAGTGATGGGAATATGGGGGGCAGGAGGGAAGTCGCTGTTTTTCACTGAATCTTTGAATTCCACACCTAATTTAAATTTAAGAAATTTAAAAATACCCAGGTACAAAAATACCTTGTTGTCTTATTCTAAGAGCTAGCAAACTGTGCCAGAATTCTTGTTTGTCCTAAACGTTCAGTACCCTGGAGACTGTCCTGGTCTCTAATCTTGACTTTTTTTTTTTTACCCCTTCCTTCCACACTTTAGATAAAGGTAGACTGGGATTAATATTTTCAAGTGGCAGCTCTTCCTTCCTGTTTCTGGAGAATAAAGATAAATATTCTAAAGAAGAAGTGGACAGTACAGTGTTCAATATGAAAGTAATTCTGTCCACACAGCTCTTATTGTGCTTCAAGAGGTTGATCATAGGGCAGAACAGATAGACCTGTATGTGGAATAGTCAAATGTGCAGCTAACTGGTATTAGTTATCTATTCTGATCCAGAATCTAGTGGCTTTGAATGGCTTGCTTTAAATCCAGTAATTCTTTCTGAGGACCCTGGCTTGCTGTTTTGTTTGAGCAAAGTGATGGATAGAAAATACGAGAGGCACAATGATGCTGGTTTGTGTTGTGCAAAATTCAGAGCAATGGTTTGGGAGTATAAAATAGCAAAGAAACATAGCACCAACAGTTGCAAGGAAATCTACTTTGTGAGTAGATAGTAGTCTTTAAAAGGTTACCATTTTGTTCAGTCCCAAAGCAGATCCATGAAGATTTTGGAAAACCATGTAATTTGTTACTGATCTCTCATTGTTTCAGTCCTTTGAATGTTCACGTCCATGCAGTCTAGTAATTTTGAAGTATTACATGTAACAATGATGTATTGCAGAATAGTTCAGCATAGACATTAATTCTGCTGTTAGTCAATGAGGTTTTATTTCCCCATTATATGTACACCTTTCCTAAAAAAATTTCTCAGCATTTTTCACTCCGAGTTCTCTTCTCACAAATGAGACTATTTCTCTCTTTCTGTTATGTATGGGGAGGGAAGATTAACCATGTTTTCATGGGTAAATTCATAGTGGGGAAAATGGAACTGTAAAAAAAACTGTAAAAAAAAAAAAAGCTGTATCACTGTGTTTTGGTTTTTTTTTTTTTACAGTTTGAAATGAGAAGTTGCTTGTTACTTGTCTAATTTATTGCCTAGTGCAGTAACTTCTACTGGGGACCATTGCACTGACATTAACAGAAAATAATGCTTATTCCTGGGGATTCTGTCTCTGCAGGGACCTTTGCCAAATACTTGTGGTCACTTTTGGGAGATGGTTTGGGAACAGAAAAGCCGTGGTGTTGTCATGTTGAACAGGGTGATGGAAAAGGGATCCGTAAGTACTTAACTGGTTCTAGCTGAGTGTTCATTGCGTGTTTATGTTTTTTCTTAACAAGCAAGCAAAAACCCACAAAAACAAACAAACCCCACCCCCTCGAAGAACGGGGGTGGGAAAGTGGAGAGATGATGGCCATCAGTAATTTTATCTAAGAAATTATGCCTACAATTGAGTACCCGTTGAACTGATCTTACTGCAGTCAGAAAATTTTTCAGTTTGTAATTGTAGTTTTTCATTTCTTCTGAACTTGGTTGAAATAAGGCATGAACACTTTCCATACAAGTGAATATTTGGTCTCTACTCCTTACCTAGGTATCTGAATGTAAATCTTTCCAGTGTACACAGATTGCACCTCTGAAAGGTCATTTACTCAAGTGTTCATTCACAAGCATTATTGAAACGGTTTTGTAGTAGTTAGAGGCACTTTGACTCCAAGTTTCCTTCATGCAGTAAGGGCTCTGATTATTAAATGTATCTTCTAGACATATTGTTTCTCCACCAGTACTTCTCTTGATATCTCTCTCAAGCAATAATCTTCTGGGTGATGTGGAACCAGCTGTTAAGCTAGTGCTTTACTTGCTAGGAGAAGTGCAGTGGGCTAAGTTGTGCCCAGACCTTTTAAGGAGTTTACATTAGACAAGACAGGCAGAAAATGAAGGGAAACAATAGACAAACAAACAATTGGGGTTATTTTAAGTTATTTCTTCTGACACATGGAGTAGCTGCTGTCTTGAGAAGAAAATGCCTCAGCCTTTCTGATGGTGGAGAAGACAGGAACTATCAGGCATGGTTTCCATGCATGGGTCAGAGTTCTGCCTCTATGCTAATTCCACAGCTGCCATCTTTAAGGTGGACTTGGCAGCTGTGCAAATTTGAGACAAAAGCAATTTTAAAGACTGATAGAAATGCACAGTTTAAAGTTGAATGTTACAGTGTAGTCAGTATAAAGGCACTTTGGAGAAGGGATAGTGGGTATGTCGAGTATCCACCAGCAATAACTGCGTGGTACATTCTTTTGCACAGTCAGGAAGTAATTCCCAATAATCAGGAAAATTCTTGTGCAATGAATTGTGTTTTAATAAACTGCAGTCTTGATTTTTGAGTTTTTGGCTTTTCTTGTCGTGCAAGTGAAATGTAATCTTCATAAGAGATGCAGTAGCCATATTTTTCAATAGTTTCTTCCTTTCCAACCTTTCCCGCTCATTTCTGCACTGCCTGTAGTTTTGAACAAAATGAATTGCTGTGATCCCTTAGGGCAGGCTGTTTAACACTTCTCAGAAAACAGCAGTGGGGGACCCAGAGTGGAGCACAAGAAAATACCGTTTGCAGACACATTTGGTGGCGAATTTGGATGCAAAGCCAGTTGCTGTCAGAGAATTATAACTGCATTCTACACTCCGATAAACTAGAGGATGTATTTTCAATAAAAACTAGAATTAGTTGGGGCAAAACTAGTGTTGGTCTACCTAGGTATAAAATACTGAAGGGTTTTCTTATTTATTAAAATTCTGTCAGAAATTGCCCTAGACTGTGTTATTTGCCCTTTAATAAAAGAGACGTTAGACATGTTCAAGAATACATTCTTACTGCATGTTTAGGTGTGGGCAAATCATGGTCATAATCCCGTTACAGAGGAGGAGTGCTTAGTGGCAGAAGTAGCAGACCAGTTCTCCCAGTCACAATATCCTTAGGTTTAACTGTCAGAAACTTGGTTGCAAACTTTCCTGTTTGTGTTGCTGATGAGTTTCTTTAGTTTCAGTTTTTTACTGCACGCTGCAAAATGTGCTACTTTTCTGTGTGGTTGACTCATTTAAGGTCCTAGCATGTAGCAGTCTCTGCAAAACTGAGCTCTTGGGGAAACTTTACTGAGAAAATTGAAGTTCAGTCAGAAGTAAGTAATGGGAATATTTCCTGAATGCAGGTTTTTTGTTTGGCACTTTAGTTTTAAACTGTGCCATGTAAAATCAAAATGATCTCACTGCTATTTTTATTTTTGTGGTGCGTGAATGGAGTAACCCCAAATCCCATCTGATGTTACACTTCCAAATTAGCAATGTTGTAATTCTCTGTATGTAGTTCATTCCTGGAATTCATACTACTTTTTCACAGTATGTTCTGCTCTTGTTAACATCTATCTCTTCTTTTGCAATGTAAATATTTGACATGAGGATAATAAATAAAATGCAGAGTAGACTAAAATTCAGATTTTGGCAGAGTGTTGTGAGAGCTTTTATACTTAGACAGTTACTAGATTTGTTTGTTTGTTTGTTCTGATACAAGCTAAAGTAAATAATGGCTTTGATTTTGATTAGATTCCATAGCTTCACACCCTTTCAGCTTACACGTAGAAGAATGAGAACTCTACCTAATTAAACCTTAGGTATTTTCATGAGTTCTGTCAGGGTCAAAACAATTTGATTTATTTTGATAGAAAAATGGTAGAAAAGATTCAGTGAAGATGTGGTTCTGCAATATAAAGGAATACTGGTACTCTTCACACTAGAATTGGTCCTCCTTATAATAAAAGCAGATGAAGAAATGGTCTCCTAAGAAAATGTTGTATTTAAGGATGTCTATTCCTTCCCTTTTACACAAACTTGAATGACAATGTTTTTTGTCAGATGTTGTATTTAAGGATGTCTATTCCTTCCCTTTTACACAAACTTGAATGACATATAAATGTCTTCTATTTGTTTTTAGGTAAAGTGTGCACAATACTGGCCACGGAAGGAGGAGAAAGAAATGTTTTTTGAAGATACAAACTTGAAACTAACATTGATATCTGAAGATATAAAATCATATTACACAGTACGACAGCTAGAATTGGAAAACCTTACAGTAAGTACAGAAACTAGTACCAATCAGATTCTTCAGTCTCTCTGAGGTGAGATTCACCTACTCATCAACAAGATCTTGAAAAAGATGGTCATGAGTTATAGCAGATTTTATTCTGGAATTGGTGATTATGCATGAGATTGTCCTTCAGCCTCTAGTTTGTGTGTTGTAGAAATGAAACTCTTAAATATTCATGGAACATACCTGGGGAAACTACAGTCATTTTCATGTCTTGTCCATATACTGAGTGAGAAGGTGAGTTTGTCACTACCTTTCAGAGAACCCTTTATAAAATCACTTAGTGTTCCAGTGCTTTTGTGTTATAGTTGAAGTAATTGCTCTTGCTGTCACTTAAGCTGCCTGTTTGCCTGTGTCTTGTTCTAAGGTTTATTTTTAGGTTTTGGCTTAAATCTTCAGGTTTTGCATTGATGAACTTCATCAGAAAGCAGGAACTGTGTTAGCCGTGGTCCTGCGATGAGCTGTATGGAGCTTTGTACAAGGATCAGGCCACTAGCATTAAGAAAAATAACTCTTCTTTTTATTTTTTCTTTTTTCCTTTTTTCCTTTTGGACAATACCAAAATAAAAGTATACATGCTGTGTCCCACCCTTCCTCTCCTCTTCAGCACTGCCCTGTATTAGAGCAGTGAGAGCTAATCTAAAGCTCCTTGGGGAGACTGGCTAAGGAAGAACACCATTAACTTTCGCTGAATGCAGGTCACTGAAGATAATGTTGAGGTCCTCAATGGTGCTGAGCTAGGTGTGTATGTGCTAGCCTGAGTTCTATTCTGTCCTGGTACTGCTCACTACTGGAAGACACAGTTATTCTTTGCTCATCTGTTAGCATCTTGAACGCTTCATCCTGCCAGGAAACATGAGACAGCAGATAAGAATTTGACTAAATTATGCCTGAGTAAGAATTTAGTTGATGTAGTTTGTGGTGTGTTTTAACTGTGCTAACTTCTGTAGACATGTTTGATGGTTGCAGTTCAGTATTCTAGCAGGATGTGAGCACCAATAGTTCAGTAGTCTTGGAAGGAAGTTTTCAGTTTGGGAGCAAGCCTGTAAAGGAACAGCTGTGATAGTGTAAGAGCCTTGTCTGCAGAAAGTGTAAAGGGCTTCTGTAACTTGAGGTACTTCATTTTGAGACATCTTCAAATGATACTCTGCCATTAGACATTGGAATGCAGTAGCGCCAGCTATCTTGTGGCACTACAAGCATTTGAACTGTACTGAAAAAACTAAACCATGTTATGAATAAGTAAATTTACTTATCCAGTTTCCTTCACTCTAAACGGACACCTTCACAACAAGATATAATTATTTGTAATAAGTTTCTTAGCTGTGCAACTATAAAAGCTCCCTCAGACTGGTGGAACTCTGTCATTTGAATTTAAGTCAGCTGTTCTAAAGATGTAGTGGAAACGGTGTAGTCTGAGTAGCATACAAAGCTGAGCAGGCACATGCCTCCATTCCATTTAAGTCAGAGTTATTTTCAAAGGAAGTAGCTAAAATTTTTCCAAAGGCACGAATTTGAAATTGACCTAAAGGTAAAAATGTCTGATGTCTAAAGCTGTGTGTCTAAATATATAAGTGACTATTTGCTAGGAAAAGGAACATGGAATTATGTTTGCTGATGAGAACATGCTGTAGGCAACTGTGCTTTGAGTACTTCTGACTCGTGTATCCAAACTAAAAGACCTCCTAAATATTGTTTTTACAGACACAGGAAACTAGAGAGATTCTTCACTTTCACTATACTACATGGCCGGACTTTGGCGTCCCAGAGTCACCTGCTTCATTCCTCAATTTCCTCTTCAAAGTGAGAGAGTCTGGCTCACTTAACCCTGAGCATGGACCTGTTGTGGTGCACTGCAGTGCAGGAATCGGGAGATCAGGAACTTTTTGTTTGGTTGATACGTGTCTTCTACTGGTAAGAACTACTTATTGTAGATGATACGCTGTTTCTGTAGAGTTATTTTGAGGAATGATTTGGTGTAGGCTTACAAAGAGCTGTGCTATGTTCTGCAAAGTATTGTTCATGCTGTTTCCTATTATCGCACTCATATTCTGGTTTGGGAGTGTATTCCAAGGCAGATCTCATTCTTAACTGGCCATTTTGAGTCTGGGGAGGAGAATTCTGTAGTTTTTAGAATGATTTTCAAAGATAGGCTTTGCCCTTGTGGTTAAGGAAAAAACCCACTAAATGTCTGCTAAGTAGTAGTGTGAACTATGCTGAAACAATGCAAAATAAATCTAGTGTCTTTCCTTTCATGGAGTCAACTTTGCCTGTAGGCAAGGGAAAATTGTCCTAACTTTAAGATAAAACTGGAGTTCCTTTGGCTTTATTCTGTAACTGTGTGAGAGCAACTAATACACAGAAAGTCAGGCCTAGGTTAAAATGTCCTTTTTTTAAAATGTATTACATTTCCAAAACGAGAAAGATAAAAAAGGGAAAAACATAACACATTTTGGAGGCCCAGTGTGTTTTCCTCTCTCTGTCTTTTTAGAGATTCAATAAATAACTGTTTATTAGTTTATTAATTCTGCAATATGCAGGGTAGTCTGAAGGCCCTCGTACAAAATGAGTCATCATAGTGAATCTCATCAGAGCATAAAGCATGTTTCAAATTTTTATTTTCAGATGGACAAACGGAAAGATCCTTCTTCTGTGGACGTTAAACAGGTTCTCCTAGAAATGAGGAAGTACAGAATGGGACTTATACAGACAGCAGATCAGCTCCGTTTCTCCTACCTAGCTGTTATTGAAGGGGCAAAATTCATTATGGGAGATGCTTCAGTGCAAGTGAGTACTACTGGTTGCACAGCCTAATGTAGTGAGCTGCAACTCTGTTTTAACTGTAGAAAATTTGTGGGATGAACAGAATAGAAACTTGCTTCAGCTTCAAAAAATTTTTAGATTATTATGAGGTTCTTAAATACAACACTTTAAGGTTATGACAGATCAGGAAGTGTTGTGTTTAAGACAGTACCTGTAGTATAGCCAGTGGGCTCATGTACTTTTCAGTATTATAACTGGGGTGTAGATTGGCTGCATTGGCCTTGTCTTTCATTTTAGATAACAAAAATTTTCTAATATGCCAGAAGTTTGTTTTATGGTAAACAGAACTCTAGCAACACAGATTCTGTTTTGTGCTATTTAAATTTTCCAGAAGTAGATTAAAATTTCTTGTATTTATAGCTGATGTCTTCTGTGTACTGGATGTAGCTTAGGTGTGGTGTTCTTGTGTCTTTTTTCTTTTTTTTTTTTTTCCTTTTTTTCAATGCAAATGAACAATCATTCTAAGAGTAAATGAAAAGGTAGATTATAAAGACCCTGACAAGTTGAGGTTAAAAGTTATAGCAGCTTACATAAAAGAAATAGAGAAAAACTTCACAGGGCTTCTCCTTCCTGAAAGGAACAGTGGAAAGAGCTTTCCAACGAAGACCTGGACCCACCACCTGAACATACCCCACCACCTCCCAGACCACCAAAGCGAACCTCAGAAATGCACAATGGAAGGATGCATGAACACCCAGAATTCTTTCCTAAACACCAAGTAGTAGAGGAAGAGATGAGATGTTCGGTCAGCGCTGTGGAAGAGATGGTTCCAGATGGCAGAGCTCGTTCATCTGTACCACTGATCACAGACGGGTAATTCATTTAGTTTCCTGCTTTTAACTGTCCCAAGAAGACTGTCCAGTTGGCTTACAGCATTGAGAGGTTGTAGGACATTTGCTCATAAATGGCATTTCATACAGAAGGGCCTGAACAGACCTTGATCAAGTTAGCCCAGAATCTTTTCAGTAAAGGTCTTATGCTCATGTTCATTTAATGTCATGCATAAGCTAGGGATCCTGCTAGAGTAAAAGAAAAAGTGACAGCATAATGAGGTGGTTTAGTCTTGATTTACATGCAGTGTGTGTTAAGTTACAGAGGAGCTCTTTCACTACTTAGAGGCAGTATTAGTCATCTAGCTGAAAACTAGGCTGACTAGCTTTAGCCACACTTAGAAATGTGAAATTAATTGCAAGCAAAGCTACTTTTAATGAAAGGCTTATGAACAGAGGACTCTTCTGCCTGTCATTGTAACCTAAACTGTGAGGGCTAATAAATGTGCAGTGTATGCAAGCGGTAGGACAGCGGAGAGGCCAAGGTTCCTGCCTGCTTAACCGCTAGATGTCACCCCTGATTTATCCCAGCGGCATGGAACTGGTTGAAATCCGCAAGCCTTGGTGTTTCTGGCATCCTGTGTGTTAACTAGTTTTATCCAGAACAACCAAATGAATGCCACACAGAAGAAAAAAATTCAAAATTAAAAACAAACAAACAAAAAAAACCAAAACAAAAAAAAAAACACACCAAAAAAACCCTCTACAGCCACCAGACATAATCAAGAGAAAGTTTAATGTTCCCCCACTAGATGGTCTCCTAACAAGACATCTTCAGCTTCCTATAGGAATACTGGAATAAAATACCAAGTTTTAGTATTGTCCATAGAACTAGAGCCTTTTCAACAGATGCAGCTGGCAGGCCTGATGCATTTTATTTATCTGAACCAGTGGGGGAGTGTGTGACTGGGAACTGGAGGTTAGTGAGATGTGTTTCCAATAGTCTTTCTTCAAAATGAAGCTCCTCTAATTTCACATAGCAAAGCGGCTGAGACCATGAGCTGAATCTGTTGTCTCCCTCAATTCTGCTGCGGGCAAGGAGATAAAATGGAAGTGTTTCCCTGCTGGATGTAAAACAATGTTTTGGTCAGGATTTATCTCAATTAATCAGGGGAGATTCTGGAAGTGAGATACTCAAATTCCAAACATCTTTACTAAAAAGAAAGGAAATCTTGGAAATAGGAATGGACACAAATGGAGGCTTAGGCTACAAAGGAAGGAAACGTTGCAGTGGTAGCACCTCCCTCTTTCTTCCCTCAGTGACAATATAGTTCTGATACCAGAATATTTGCCTGGGATGTGGTGATGCCAGCTAATGCTTTCCACACCTAATGAAGATTTAAAGCTGGTGTCTCGTTGTCTTCTCATTAGCTATACAAATCTGAACTTCTCAGTGAAGAAACGATTTCCTGGAAATGCTTTACACGGTTCAGTGTAAATGAGCAGAAGACATGTCCAGCTCTAAAGAGCTCAGAGGCTCAGATTGATTTCATTGATTATAGTCCCTTGCCTGAGGTTGGAGTTGAGTCATCCTCTGGAACTGCCCGTCTTCACTGATAGTAGAGGCTGGCTTGGACTTGACATCTACCTTTTACCCTGCTAAAGTTAAATCCTACCTTATGTGATGTTTCAGGCATACTAGGAAAGGTCAGGATCAGGCAGCATCAGGCCTCCTTGGTGATCATCGCACTTGTCCTCATATCTGTGACAGTGAGTCTAGAAGGGGGAAAAGTGCCACTTGCTAGGCAGGAGGAGGGAGGAATGGAGGGCCGAGGAGCAGTCTGATGTGAAAGGATGTGGGACAGTGTGAGGCTGGAGGAGATGGAGGGGTGGGAAATGGACGTTGTGCTGGCAGAGGTGAGGGGAGAAGCAGAAGTCTTAAGCATGTTTATTTTCCTGCCTAGATATTCTAGTGTCTGGAATGGAAGATTCCTGAGTTCTTCTGTACTTAAGCTGTCAGCAGATGTCTAGGACATCCCCCTGCAAAGCATCTCCCTGCTGGTTACCACCCTGCTAGTTCTCACAGCATAGTGATGCTCTGCTTTCTAAAGTCAGTGGGAAGAAGTTGTACAGTAGACACAAAAGTTACTGCTCAGTTAAGAAGCCTCTTTGGGTGTCAATATACTGCCAACAGGATGGAGGTCTAGTATCTAGGAACAAAACCATGTTAAAAGTATTAAAGGAGAAGAATCATCATTTCCATCATCAAAAGCTATCACGATGCATTTAGCCACTCCTCCTAAGTTACAGCTGCACAAGCAATCATAGTTCCATTATCCTCTGAGTTTTTGGGCAGGTGCTTGATTTTTAGAACCTCAGTGTTCTCCTGACCTCGATGTGAGTTTGATTTGTGCTAGTTCATTACCTGTCTCAGTACAGGTAGCAGATTTGTGATGAGCAATGGAAATAGGTGGTGTTTAAAACTAAGTCATCTTATTCTTTAAAGGGCACAAAATACTCCCAAGCATGGCTTTTGACAAGCACTGTTCTAAACCTGTAATTTAATAGCCAGAACTGTACTAATTAGTGATAGGCTTTGGTTTGTCATCCGCTGCAGCTCCTGATAGCGGGACTTTTCCAGCGTTGTCTGCGGTGTTCAGTGGATGAGGCTGTGCTCTTGGAGAGTCTGCACGGCTTCTCTCCTAAATGGGGAATCCAGTACTGAGTATTTATTTTTTTGTCCTTAAGCACTAGTCAAGACACTGAAATTCGGAGGAGAACTGTTGGTGAAAATCTGCGTCTCTCACCCCACAAAGAAGAGTCGATGAAGTCAGAGAACTCGGAAGAGGATGATGAGAACATGATGACAACTTGGAAGCCATTTCTAGTGAATATATGCATGTTCACTTTCCTCACGGCAGGAGCTTATCTCTGTTACAGGGTGTGTTTTCATTGATGGACATGCCAGCAAGATCGACCCTGCAGAAAACGCCAACGATTTGATCGGTTTGTAATAAGCTTCTCCGAAAGAAAGCTCATTGAGGCATGTGAGCCTTGTCTCGGTGGAGGTAGATCTTAGGTTGAAAGGCCGGAACTTTGGTTAGGGCTTAAAGAGAGAATTGATGCACTAGGGTTTTATCTAGCCCTGTGGTCCCAAGAACATAATATTCTAATCTCAGGGCCTTAAAATATTCAGGAGTAAGCAGAGAAAATGCCAAATAGTCTGTTTTGGATTTTTTTCTTTTTTTTTTTTTTTAACTAAATAATAGAATTACAACACATTGTTGTTTTTAGCCTTTTTTAAAAAGCCAGTTCTTTTTCTTTTGTGTTTCAGAAAAACTAGGCACAAGTGAAACTTGCTTGTACTCTCCAAGTGTTGTAACCAAATACATGACTTATATTGATCAGTTCCCCCCAAAAAAACAAAAAGAAACCCACATACATGAAGAATGTAAACTTTCTGGAAGGGAAGGGCGTTGGGGGGAGGGGTGTTTGTGGTTGGTATTTTGTTTGGTTTTTTTTTAACTTGCTTCATCATTAAAGACTGAGTTGTGGGCAGTGCCTGTGGTATTGATATATTTAATCTTGGCATAACTGTTCTTAAAGAGCTTATTGTTTTACATGTGTTTATAGAAACAGGCTTCTGCATTTGCTCAGGGTATCCCAAGTTGTCAAGCTCTTTTTCTTTTTTTTTTTTTTATAAGTGTATCTCTTCATTGACTTTTGTTGCACTCTACTTGCACATATGCCTATTTACATTGCACCATCCTTTGTAAAGCTGTTTTTACTTTTATATTCTGGGTTAGGAGAGGTGGAGGAAGGGAGAAGAACAAGAAGGGAAATTCAACCAAAACATGTCCACCAGCATTTTGCAGCTGTGCAGCTGGCATTCAGAAGGACCAGTTCTTAAACCTCATCATTTGGAATGTAAAATGCAGTTTCACTCCACACCTGCTCCATGAGGAAGAGCTTCCTGCAAGGGCTGGAGAGGTAACGCACTTGGAGGCATTGCAGGCAGTGGACAGGAAAGCATTTCAGTAAATCCAGAGCAATTAGTGCTGTGGCAGCTTCCTTCAGACATAAAAAGTTCAGCAGAAGACATGCTGGTCTGTGAACGTATCAGTTGGCTTATGATGCAAGCATTTGTGTGTTCTGCTTTTTTTAAAGCAAGGATTTAAAATACTGGCTTTAGTTTGGCTTGAAGATAATGCTCTTCAGTAATTATCGGACATAGCGGTGTAAGAGGGTAAGTCTCACACTTCTGCAGACAGGGTGGTTGCCGTCCTGAGGTAAGCTACGGGAGATGGGAGGGTTTGTCCTATGCCACGCTGTGTCTACGCTGTTTTGCTCAGTAAGAGGGCCTGTTCTGCAGGCCCAGGACTTGAGTAACGTAAAGTGCTTGTAAATAAGGATTTGGGTGCATTGGTAGAACTGTGACTGGAATGCGGCAGCGCACTAAACAGTCTTAGGCAATGCCGCTCCTCTTGTTAGTACCAAACTAGTAATAAACAATAATAGCAAAGATTTCTTTGCTGGTGTCATGGGGCAGAGGATAGGAGTAGACTCACTACTGACAGTTGTAGTGATTGAAACTAAACCATGACAGCTGATTTGCAGCAGTGTTACTAATCGGTTGTTCTTATTTTTAAAGGCTTTCTAGATTTATAGCACTTAACCACCATTCTCAGTGCAAACATCGCTATGGAGTATCTCATGTAAGTTTCTCTCCACTCCATATTTATTTTTGCAAAGCTGTCTGTAGGTGTAGCGCTCTTCTTTCAGTGAGTAAGTTGGTGAACAGGGGCGGGAGGGGTGGGAGTTATTTCTGGTTTGTGTTTTGTTAAGGTTGCATCAAGGGCTTCTCAAGTACAATAATAAATCCTCAGGTAGTACTGGGAATCAATACTTTACCTGTGAGACTGTTGGTCAGACCAGTACTTGAAAGGAGGAATGTTGTAATCAGTCAATATTTAGTTATATTATTGGAAACGTGAAAAATGAGTATAGAAAAATGGTAATATATAATGGCTCATCTGTGTATTTAAGATACAGTATGTGATTGCTTCATCCCCACTATTCTCTCCATCATCAGGTAGAATATCGTTCTAAGGCAACATTTGTACCCCATTTGTATTAAAATGCATGTAAAGTCTTCAAGTGTCCTGATGAAATACCATGTGCTTGAAAGGTGAAAGAACTTATATTTCTGCTTACTGATGTGCCCAAATTATATTTGCATGAACTGATCATTAAGTGGCTGTGGTTCAAAGGGTGTTGCTGAAAGTATCTTCATTCAGCAATCGACTGATTTGGTGTTTATCAGATAACATGTAACTCGCCTAATACTTGGCATGATTTCCTATTGAATTTCTGCGTACTCAGTGTAATCCGGTTGTTTAGCATGGTTCATTTCAGCTGAGTAAGTATAGTACAGACATTCCAGAGTGTTTAGTAAGCCATATTCACACCTCACCTCTGGCCACTTGAGGCAAGCAATAGCTCGGTGATTTCAGGGTATGACTTGCTGTGCTGCCTTCAGAGCTGCACTGGAGCGGGGAGAGGAAAGCCTCTTGCAAGCTCTCTCTGTAGCGCACTTTGATCTGCAGAAATACAGGCTCCTGAAGTGGTGGCCCGTTTGAAAACAAATAAACAAGAAACACCTCTATGCTGATCCTGAGAGGGAATATTTTAAATTTTAGGCTTGACAGGAAAGCAAAGCATCCTTCCTTTGAATCCAGAATAATTCACTTGCAAATTATTCTAACAAGAGAAAGTTTCTGCAGATGGTAAAGTTTTGAACATCCCCCTTTCTGCCCATGTATTTTGCCATTTCTGTCATCTGTTCTGAATCCAGAACTTACACTGTCCCGGGACAGACGCTGGAATATCCCACAAGCCCTGTGAGGTGTGTATAAGGCTTATAATACTGAACTGTAAACATTTTTGTTTTGATGTCCTGTATATGTATGTAGTAGTTTGGGTGTGTATATACAGTAGCGTTTCAAAGTGGGTGTATTGGTTAACCTATTCTTGGAAAATGGACAAATATCCATGTTAAACTTGTTAGAAAGTTAGTGAGCTGCTCTGCTATATGCCTTAAGCAAATATTTACTCATCAGGTCTTTCTTTTTTACAGATTGCCATAGAATAAACTTTTTTAAAAAAATAAAAAACCAAAAAAGCTAAATGTTTTGGTATAATACATTTTCAGGTATATTGTCTTTTGTGTAAGCCGCTGCAAAGACCTCACAGGTTATAGTAAAATTGTACAGTTTTTCAATTTCCCATACAAGTTTTCAGTTCTCATTTTTAGTTGTAACAATAAAATTCTTTTTTTAAAGAACGTACATGAGAGCCTCCTTGCTTCCTGTCTTCTCAGGGCTATAGCCACTGGCTTCTCTTTTGAGCCACTTGCAAATCTGGACTAGCGTGATACTTGGTGGGGGGTTTTTTGTACAGGAAAGTGGTTTAAGAACTTATTTGTAGGTCAGAGCTCCAGTAAAAAAAAGAGTAAGTAAGCAAAATGAGTGTCCTGTGTCTCTCCGACACATACATCTCCCTCCTCTAGTCTTCCACTTTAAACAGTTAAAGTTTAACTATGTTGGATCGGGAATCAGTGGAATATAAAAAAAAAATGTAATAACTCTTCAAGCACAAATGTTTGTTTGCAAGAGTTTCAGTTGTGCCTTAACATGAAGCTCCAGTGCGGGGACACAGTGGTGTACCTGTTTGTGTTACAGCAGCTGCAGCTGTCAAGTTTCTGTGTTGTTTGGATTAAAGTATTTAAGTATTTACCTTTTTGTTTATATTTTTAAGGAAAGCTACAAATGGAGGAGAGGTGCTTGAAAAGACAATTTTCAGTCATAAAGTGGTATGAAAACAGCTGTGCTGAGTTTTCATGCACTGCCCCTCAGAAACTGTCAGCACCTTACTGTTAGGCTTTAAAGCCTAGCTCAGACTCGGGCAAAACTGGGCTGCCCCTCTCTCTTACAAGCCACCATCTGTTTCCCTTTCCCCCTTCTAGTGAAGAGGGGCCTGGGGAAGCAGAGAATTTACCAAAGTAGAACCAACTTCTTTCCCCTGCTTTTAAATAAATCCCTAAGTTAAAAGCAGAGTTGCAGCACAGAAAATCAGCCCATTAAGTTTTACTTTGCTATAGAATTAGCATGACTCCCAAACACCATGGGCCTGCTCTTCAGAGCTCATCAGTAAAGACTTCAACTGCATGAGCAAGCTGTGCATTTCCAAACTAAATACCAGTAGCAGAACAGGCGCTCAGCCTGTCTCAACGGTACAAGCTTGAACTTTTCACAGGCAGAATTCAGAAGTGGGCATGACACTCTAACCTCAAGCTAAGATGTGTCTTAAACCCCCACAGGGTATTAAGATACTTAAGTATCACCTTATATCTGTCCACAGTGCTACGAGGACATCAATATGAAGCACTTGCAGGAACTTGTCTCAAATGTTTTATTAGAATTTTAGAAAACAGTATGAAATCCAACAATAAATACTGAATAGAAAAGTAATATATATAAAAAAATATATACATACAAGCCAAAACCTTTCAAGTATTTTACCTGCAGCCAGGCTTCTCTTTACGGCTAACCCCCCCCCAAGGTTGCGGAAAAAAGCCCAACCACG